TCTTCAATAATGATTCATAATCAAAGGCCACCAGCTTTGGCCGATTCCTCTTTGTCTTAGGTCCAAAGGCATCAGCAAAAGGCTCTGTGTCGAGAAGGTGAACTCTTGCTTGCTTGGGGAATCAAAGAAAAATTATGAAATCAGCTACAAAAAGATGTAAGACAAGACTTGCAGATACAAATTTAAAGTTTCCTTGTAAATATAACCAGAGATCCACAGAGAAGAAGAGCTTCAAACCTTCTGATGATCATTCAAGAGGGACATAGGGATCTTTCTTTCCTTCAAAAGTACATTGTAGTTGCTCGAAAGACGGTTTTGAAGTTCCTCTCGGAAAAATTCAAGCTCTCTCTGATTTACAACACGGGTGTTGCCTATAAAATTGAATGAACAAATAAAGCTTTTAATTTCTTTTACAATTGACATACAGTAAGAATGGCACAAAGATCAAATAAAAGCAACAGAAATCAGCATCCTACCCATGCACGTGAAAGACAGTCCAGCAGCTTTCAAAGTACAAACAGCTGCATTTATTTCATGTTTAATCCCAAGGAGGTTTTTATTCAACCGTACAAATCCCCTTATGGTTGAAAATCAGGAGAGAAGATTTGTAAATGAATTACAGATTAACTACAAATTGAGCCTAGTCTAAAGTTAACAACCAATATCGGACATTCTAAACTTACATTAACAGCCCTTTCAAACAATAGTTAACCATATCATGAACTGATCATTTTCCCTTTTTTAAGAGATTAAGCTAAAAGTTCTCAACCAGTGACACCACAATATTTAGATGGCCATCTTTTTTTTGTCAACTATGACAAAAGGCAGTGGCATGCTCTTTCTTCTGCAAGATTTTACCCTTAGTGTAACCCGAGAAGATCAGATCAAAATGTATGTTCTCCTAGTCTTTATACAAGTGAGTTTTAGAAAGTTAGCAACTTTTTGCATTTCGGAGAATTCAAAATATTTCACCTTAAATTTACTATAAAAAGAAAAATTGAACCTGCACCTTTTTGTAGTACACAGCAAAATCAAACGCAACTGAGACCAAAAAATTGCTCAAACAAAACAAAGCACATCATACCAAACCACCGGCGATCAGGTTGAATCCGAGTCGACGGCAACTCCTTAGACTGCAAATCGTTCTTCAAAATCTTCCCTTTCGTGTTACGCTTTGGCCTCGTGTTATACATCTTAAGCCTTCGCACAGTGGCGGCGCTCCGCCCATTTTTGGATTTGTTCGCATCTCTATTAACATCCAGCGAATGCTTCGGCTTTCCCGAAACGTTCACCGATTTCTCTTTCTGCTTCGCCATCTTCTTAAATTAACACCACAAAAAAATAAGCTCTAATCCTCAATAATACATAAAACTGAGAAAAGAGGAAATTGTTTTACAGCATTTCAAGAACAGTAAATATAAAAAGGCTGAAATGTATGTACCAGGCGCTGATGGCTGTACGGCTACTATAGAAATTCAGTGAAGAATTGAAGAAACCCTAGTTGAAGCGTTTCAAAAGAGGAGTAACTGTCTTTATATACCTAACCGTGCTATAAACGGATCGGTCCAACTTTTATCCAATCGGACCGGAGCGGGTTTTGATTGGTTTCTTTTTGAGTTTTTTCTGCTCTTGTTATTATGTATAAATTACAGCTACAGTCCCCAATATTTGACCTTCATTGCAATCTTGTTCTCAATCTTTTTTTTTTTTACCAGTCATCAATCAGCAACCATCAACTCGTGTTTAAATATGATTAGCTATGGTAATAAAGATTAGACCCTAAACCTACCTCTGTTAATGCCTTCCCCACACCACTACTAGAGACTTGATAAATTAATTAGTAAATCTACTTTATGGAAGGAAATTGGCATGTCCACTCGGACAATGCTTGATTTGCTACTTTTTGTCGCCAATTGAATATATGTGGAGTTATGAAAGTGAAAAGTATTGAACGTGTGATATTTGTCGTCACGTGGATTGGCTGATGAACACAAGTCTAGGCCAACGAGGAGGCAGCCGTCTTCAGCTTGACGGAGTAAGAGCTGAAGAAAACAACAACCGGTACAAAGATTTGACTTATAAGTGCAAGGAAAATCGAACATTTTCGAAGAAAAAATGGGGATGAAAGTAAGTTATTTTATTTATTTACTCATAATTTTACTTATTAAGTAGTTTTATACCTACTGCAATTCAATTCAATTCAATTTTATTGTGGTCTAAACCTATCTGAGACGAACTCAATCCGGTGTGATCAAGGTTGATAAGCAAATTTACTTAATTTAATTCTTTAATAAACGAATCGTATATGAAATAATCCTTATCTAGTCTAATACAGTGTACCAAAACTATTCTTAATGTACAAAATGATACTCAACACAAGTACCATAATACGAGAGCTTGAAAACTTAACCCTAGTAAGATGAGTGTAGTTACTTTACTCAAGTTGAAGAGTGAAACAAACAACTTTATTTTTTTAAGTTTCATCGGAACCATCTTCAACAAATAGCCTAGATTTAAATCTCGTCTCCAATTCTCACCTCTATGTTCCCTCCACCCCTCCAGCTATATCGTTCCTTAGGACTTGGAGTATGCTGGAAGAGACGGGACATGGCAGCAAAAAGGGGTAGGAAAAAGATGGCTAAAGTCTAAAGTGTATGAATTTAATAAGATAAATTAAATATTTCTCACACGAAGATTACTTTTTCATTTAAAAAATTCAAGTGGACACTTTTTTTACTTTAGTCATTACTATTTATTTTGAAAAACCATGTCATTTAAATAAGCTAACTTAACACATCGCGTTACCTCTTAATTGGTTGTAGAATTGAAATTGAAATTGAAATTTGGAACTGATAGGAATCACTGACGTATGATTTGATTTCAAGCACCCACCACTTTTAATCCACTGCTCGATAGTAATTCATAACATAAATAAATGTTTCGCCTTGAATAATTTGCTACCAAACGTAAATGAAATGTAAAGAGACACTGACATATGCATTTAGAATTTTGCTATTTGTACATAGAAAATATACATAAACGGTTACCGAAAATGATATGTAGAGGAAAAGATTGAATGAAAAAGTTGATTGTATTTTAAACTGACAATTAGTACAGTATCGGGTGACATTATGTTATGTAATACATTATTTAAATCTTGATGTATACGTAGCAAGATCCATGCATTTATACTTCTATTAATCTAATAAATTGAGAGAACATATAATAATTTCTTCGATTTTAAATTAGATTTTAAATTATAATTTGAGAGAGATGAAAAAATATCATTCCATGATTTGTTACTTTTACTATGATCATACTTGTACAAAACTGACCACTCCAAAATCAAATTACAAAAGAAATCAGCCAGGTACTGCATCAGCAAATCCAAAACCACATTTTACAAAAAAACCACAAAGTAAAAGGCTCATATTCACAGTTGTTTTCTCCCTTCCTATTTTCATCTCTCGCTACTGGGAACTAACTGATCTTTTCTTCATATCATGGATTCTAAGTTTTTGAGGAAAACTTCAAGCATGTTTGCAAATGTTACAATTCCAACTACACTGCAATCATCTTCAATAACCCATAAATAGTTTACCCGATGCGCGATAGCCTGTATCATCACTGCCACCAAAGAACTTCCGGGATGGCACACTATTGCCTCTGCCCTTCTCACCATACGTGCTGAGTAGCTGGTAGACCTACTATATCGACCCAACCTTGACAATGTTCTACTAGGGGAAGGTAATTCCTCGTCAGAAGATGAGCTGGAGAGAATTGTACTACTGGAGGACTCTATCACAAATTCCTCTAGCATTCCCTCTAGATTTCTTTCCTTCAACCTCGCCTCGACCACCCTATCAATTTCCTCAGTGGGGCCTCCACAGTCAATGTAGGTCATTAGTTCCCCCACAGAGAGGGTTGTAATGGCAGCTGCCACAGTCTCGTCATAGCAGGCAAGGGCGAAGGGGGAGATCTCACCAATCAATGTTCCATCATCATCAACAACAGCCACTGAAGTTTGGTCCACTAGAGATTGGGAGATGGCGCCAATTGCTGATGAAGCCATGGAGTGGTACCCAACAGCCAAAAATTCAGGGCTGATGATGCCAAGGGTGTCAATGGAGAGAGTCGGGATCGGGGAGAAAAGGCCAATAGAGCTAAGAAGGTATCTCATTATATCTTCTTGCGTTAGCCAACAAAATTCGAGGCCATTGTGAACTATTGGACTCAGTGATGATGATTTTAGGAGTTGTTTTCTCTTTGAATTGCCTGTGTTGTTGCTCTTTATAGGAACCACAAGATTCTGGGCACCTTGGAGGATCAAATCAATAGCATCAAGTAAACTACATGGAAAATAGCAAAACAGAAATTGATTAAGATGGTGTTTGGTGGGGATTAAAATTAGATTTTTAGTAGATTTTGATAAAAAAAATTTGAAATTTGTGGTTGAAAAGTTGTGGAACAATGAAATATATGGTTAATATTGATTGTTTGACTTTGACTTGATTTAATCCGGACCAAACATGGGCTAAATATGGAAAACAAACTACTATGGTTCAATTTAATATATTCTTCCATTAATTTGGAGAAACCGATGATCTCAAACACCAAGAAATATAAGCTGATACTACTCCAAATCCAAAAATAATCAAAATTTACATAAAAGACAACAGATAAATAAAAGATTGTGGATTTTAGCTTTTATCTAAGAATATTCATTTATATATTGAATTTCTCTTTTCATTCAAGTTTCAGCTCAAGCAATTATGCTAGGATTTTAACCAAACAGTTACCCACATGGTAAAATTCAATGCACTGAAATAATAAATTCAAGATTCAGACCCCTCCAGTTCAACAGAAATGCCAAAACCCCCATTAATAATTTCCCTCGAAAAACCTCGAAGAGGGAGAGAGAATTGTAATTAACCAATTACCTTGAAGAAGCCTCCACATGCCTCACGAGACCATTAACTTTTGACAGCAAAACGGAAACAGGGGACTTCAAGGCCAAAGCGGGAGAAGATAAATACTCTTCTTTGCAAAGATAGCAAATTATATCAACCATGCATATCTTCCCTATACACACACAGTTTTCATCGTTGGCATTTAAATCCCCCTTAGAGTGATCACAGTTCCACACACTGACGAAATTATTCTCCGCCTCTTTTAGCGCCGCCAAGGCATCACCGACGGTGGCGGACAGAGGAAGGGCACGCAGCGGCGGCTTGCCTAAGCAGAGATCAGCCACCTCAAAAGCCAACGAGCGAGCTGCCATACAAATACAGAGCCAAAAGAGTGTGGATTTTTGGTGCAAATTTGAGGAAGAAGTTGAAGAAGAGAGTTGCAAATCAATTGAGTACATTTGGTGTGTGAAGTGAGTGTATATATATAAGGCAAGAAGGTGACAGCAGGACACCAACTGGGGAGTATTGCAGTCGGAACGTACAGGAAATACCAATGTTTAAAAAATCGACTGATCGAAAAAGACAAGGGTCAATGATCGAACCAGTTGAACCGGATGCAATAAATAGTAAATTGGACATATAATTTATGTACCACAACAATTGACAAAACTAAGCCCC